CACAAGCAAGCAAAGCCCCATCTACGGGATGCAGGCAGCACACAAATCCACACACTCTCTGATCCGTGGAAAAACTTTTCTCCACAGAACTGATCCCTCGTGCCCCAAAGGTTGGGGACCTCTGATTTAGGCGGTTGGGACCACAATATTTATCATTAAGCAAGAGTGAGACGTCATGTGACCACATCCAATTTTTCAACCTTTTTTGCAAAGATCTTTAGCAAATCACTGAGGTCATTAGGCTTATTCTCCAAAGCGCCTGAAGGCAGGACAAGAAGCAACGGATGGAAACTCATCAAGGAGAGGAGCAACCTGGAACTAAGGAGGAATTTCCTGACAGTTAGAACAATTAATCCGTGGAACAACCTGTCTCCAGAAACGGTAAATGCTCCAACACTGGAAGTTTTTAAGAAGAGACTGGACAGCCATTTGTCAGAAATGGAATAGGGTTTCCTGCCTGAGTAGGGGGTTGGATTAGATGACCTCCAAAGTCCCTTCCAACTTTTATTATTATTATTATTATTATTATTATTATTATTATTATTATTATTGATCATCGCACAGTCAGCCAGATGTTCAGACTGGATTTGGCATTTTTGTCTACCTATCGAGTCCTTCCCAAGGGCCTGGGATAGGCAGATGTGGATGTTTGATGGTATTACAGATCTCGTCGCAGGATTGAAGCAGTTCCTAGTAAGGCTGCCTTTTGCAATTGACTAATGGCAAATTTGTTTATTATTATTATTATTATTATTATTATTATTATTATTATGATGATGATGATGATGATGTCATCAATGTGGTTGCAACTGGCAACTTCCTTCTCCATTGACTTTCTTTTATTATTTTATTTTATTCGTTTCATTTCATTTTTATTGCTTTTAAAAAACAAAAAAAAACGGGCACCACATGATTGGGATTTGCCAGCTTCCCAGCCTCTGGGCCTATTGACTTTTTTTCTGGAAAGGTTTTTTTTTTTCTCCTTTTTCTACAGAGATAAAAATAAATCCACTGTCAATGAAACAAAACAAACCCACTTTGTGCACATCGCTCAGAGGTCTGGCTGGGAAGGTGGCAAATCACAATCAGCTGACCACAGAATGCTACAACCCTCGTAACTGATGGTCAATGTCTTAGTTGTGATCCTGGGATCCCCAGGGATGGTACAATTGTTGTAATTTTGAAGACAAGTCATAAATGATTTTTTTTTTTTTTGCACTGTTGCAACTTCAAACCGTCGAGGACTACTGTGGCCTCAATCTTGATGGCTTTTCTGAACATTTGACTAGGTCCCTTCCAACTTTATGATGATGATGATGATGATGATCATCATCATAATCATCATCATCATCGCACAGTCAGCCAGATGTTCAGACTGGATTTAGCATTTTGTTGTTGTTGTTATTGATCATCGCACAGTCAGCCAGATGTTCAGACTGGATTTGGCATTTTGTCTACCTATCGAGTCCTTACCCAGGACCTGGGATAGGCAGGTGTGGATGTTTGATGGTATTACAGATATCGTCGCAGGATGGAAGCAGTTCCTAATAAGGCCGCTTTTTGCAATTGACTAATAGCGAATTTGTCAATGCCAATTGTGTTCAAGTGGTGCTCCAGTTGTTTTGGGATTGCACCCAAGGAGCCTATGACTATTGGTACTACCCTTGCTTGCTTTTTGGTACTACCCTTGCTTGCTTTGTTGTTGTTGTTGTTATTATTATTATTATTATTATTTTGCATGCATAGAACACATTTTTTGGCTATCCTTGCCAGAAGCAGGAAGTAGGCATGCTTGACGCTGCAAAAATAAGAGTGTCTGCATAATTCAGCAGTCACGTTCTGTTGAACTCCATTAAACTCTGGGTTCAAAAATAAAAACACACACACGGTGCTTCTTGCAGTGCTGTTGTATGATTTCTGGAAGGCTGTTTACAGGGCTCCTGCAGGAGCAGATTGTCCTTGGTTAAAGGCTAAATTTTTCATTTCCAGAATCAGGATAAGAGTGTCAGAGGGGACCTTGTAGGTCATCTAGTCCAACCCCTCCTCCCTACCCTATTTCTGACAGATGGCCATCCAGCCTCTTCTTCCAGTGATGAAACTCAAAGAGTCAAAGAGTTTTGATCCACACTTTAACTTTTTCCCAAGCCTGTTTCAAAGTGGGTGAAACCCAGCACTCCAAGTTCAAAAGCATCGTTAATCGCTTGGACACTCAGTGCTACCCTTGTGTCATAACATTTCTAGCTGGGGAGCCCCCCCCCAATTTTCTCTGTGTCTCGTTTCAGCCCTTCTTAGTAATACGATGACTAAAAACCACTCCGCCTGATTTAGCAATTTGTCTGTGTAAAGCAGGGGTAGTCAACCTTGGCTCTTTTATGACTCGTGGACTTCAACTCCCAGAATTCCTGAGCCAGCTAAGCTGGCTCAGGAATTCTGGGAATTGAAGTCCACGAGTCATAAAAGAGCCAAGGTTGACTACCCCTGGTGTAAATCAAAGGGCCACGATGCCTTTAGGATAAATTTATACACTTAAATTTTCTCACCTAGAACTTCAGGTACCTCACAGTGGAAAATTTTCAGAAGCAATGGCAAAAAAATGACCTCTTTGCAATCCACGTTTTCTAAATGGATATTGTGAATATACTAGCTTTTTTTTTTTGCCAGTATCCAGTGGGCCTCTGAGGCACTAAAAATAAAACATCTCGAGACAGTTGACATGCGATGTTTTGCCACCTGGAAAAAAAATGTATTTGAATTTATATAGCTGTCTCTCATACACGTGATTTTAGGTGATTAACAATGCAAAAATAAAAAATACGCAGCAGCTGAGTATTTAATGTTGTCGGTTGAGATCCTGGGATCTAAGCAAATTGGGAATTGCTCTATTTCATTTCCGTTCTGAATATTAGGCCAATAATTCTCAGCTTTCTATAAGCTTTAGCCATTTTTCTATTCTGCTCAGTGTGCTATTTGAGCTTTTTCCGTATGTGTGCCTTCTTGGTGTGGCTTCGTTCTTTCCTAAGACTGATTAGACACAAACACGGCATGCATCTTAATCCAATAAAGATATACATACATGCATGCATGCATACATACATATATAGGATTGCAGCATCTGTTTGCATAAATTCTTTTCTTCAGTTGCAGCCAATCCGTCTCAATAAATTTTACAGCTTGTCCAGGAATAAATTTTAATGTTTCTTGCACGAGAAATATCCTCCCATCGGTCCTTGCCGTCACACCCTGGTGTTTATCGACCCATATTTTTAATAAATGCGTTTGAAATCCCATTAAAATTTGGATCCCTTCTGTCTCCAGTCCGAAAGCTGCTTTTCCAAAAAGCAACTGGACTTTCTTAATTTTTTTTTCTTTTTTCTTGAAAACCTCTTCAGTTTCTTGGATAAGAAGTGAAATGTTTTCAAGGAAAAAGTAAAAGAAAAACCAAGAAAATCTACTTGCCCTTTTGAAAAAGCACCTTTGGGACATTGAGAATCTCCATAGACATCTTCTGTCCGTGGAGAATTCAGCTGAATTTTTCCAGCTTAATTTCCTTGGCGCATTTCCTTTTTCACAACAATTGTGTTGATGCAGTTTTTACTTTTGCACCTCCCCCCCCATTATTGAGTTTTCCTCCAATTGTTGTATTTCCACGGGCTTTAGCCGTTTGCCTTCTGAAGCGAGTAAGGCTAAAAAGAGTTAAGATTTACACGGGAGTGCCTGTCTCCTCTTGGTACACTTTCCTATGGGAATATTTTTCTATTTTGCAAGCAGGATATTCTATTTTAATATGCTGCATTATAACTTTGCATTACAGTTTTGCCCCATTCTATTATTCTGTGCTTTCTTTTTTGCTTTATGTTTTTTTCCACGGCTAAATATCTGCCACATGTTGTACCTTATTCAGTTTCAGCAGAGCTGCCTTTATAATTTCTGCAGCCGCATCTGGAGTCAAATTATCGCCCTCCTAGTTCAGACTGTTGAAAAAGATCTTTGTCTTTGCATTCTACCATCCACATCACAGAAGGTTTAAACGTAGCTGAATGTATTGATTTATTTCTCCTTTCTTGATTCATTCTCCCCTTGATGGCCCTCATTAGGGAACTTTCTGGTTACAGAGTACGTACAAGTAGTTCTCGACTTATGACAGTTCATTTAGTGACCAAAGTTACAACAAAGTCACAACAAAGTGACTTATGACCGTTTCTCGCAGTTACGACCTTTGCAGCATTCTCCCGTGGTCATGTGGATCAAAATTCAGATGCTTGGCCACTGGTTCATATTTATGACCATTGGAGGGTCCCAGGCTCATATGGTCACTCTTTGCAAACTTCTGCCAATGGGGTGGGGGATTCTGGCATTTGCAGTCCATGCACACCTGGAGAATTCTGGGAATTGCAGCTCATGCACACCTGGAGAATTCTGGGAATTGCAGCTCATGCACACCTGGAGAATTCTGGAGATTGCAGCTCACGCGCACACCTGGAGAATTCTGGGAATTGCAGCTCATGCACACCTGGAGAATTCTGGGAATTGCAGCTCATACACACCTGGTGAATTCTGGGAATTGCAGCTCATACACACCTGGTGAATTCTGGGGATTGCAGCTCACGCACACCTGGTGAATTTTGGGAGTTGCAGCCCATGCATGCTGGGTGGAGGGGTTCTGGCGGTTGCAGTCTCTGCATGCCAGGGGAGAGGATTCTGGGATTTGCAGTCCATGCTCGGTTGAGCAAGACCGGTCCAGATGACCTCGGGAGATCCCTTTGCCCCCGCGCGAGACTTCCTTTCCACCTTTCTGCCTTCCACCAAGAGAGACGCCCGGGAAGACCCCGGAGCTTATCCCTCCCGCCTTCCCTCCATCCCTCGGCGGTCGCGACTAGATGACCTCGGGAGTCCCCTCCTTCCCTCCCTCTCTCTCTCCGCCCCTCCCTGAGCTTGGCGAGGACGGGCAGGCGGAGCTTCTCCCCCGGTGCCCCCCCTCCCCGTGTGCTGATAGGTCCCTCCCTCGCGCAGGCGCCCTAGAGGCGGAGGTGTGGCTGCAGGTGAGGGGGCCGCGGTGAGGTGGGGGGGGGGGTGGACGCAGCGGGCGGGGTCTCCGGGGTCGCCCTGGGCACCATTCTAGTCATTGCAAAGGCGGCCGGTGGACCATGCCCACTTTGCAAGCTGCAGGGTCCCCGGGGCTGATTGCACGAAGCCGGCTTGCTTTCCGCAGCGGCGCCCACCGACTCCCCGGTGGCTCGGATGGGCATCCCGGCTACCCCCGGCCGGGCTGGCTTCTCCCCCCCCCCCGCCCAGCGGGCAGCGACCCCCTGTGGGCTTCCCTGGCAGGCTGGGTTGCCGTCTGCCAGAGAGGGTGTCGTAGGGTCTCCTGCTTGGGGTGTGGTGGGTGGGGTGGACTAGATGACCTCTAAGACCCCTTCCAACTCTGTTCCTCTCTTAAGCCCGGGCTAGATGGTCCCTGCACGGCCAATGGGCCCTGAGCTTTGGCTCAGGTGGACTCTGGACATGACTCCCGGGCACTTTTGCCTCTAGGGATGCCCGGCTCCGGGTCTGGACAGGGTGGCATTTCTGGGCTGGAAGGGGGGGGGAGGATGTAGTAGCAATGGATAAGGAAAAGGCTTGGCTGACTCTTTGGTGGGGCATCCAAGGAAGAGGGGTTGGCCAGGTGAAGTTTCTAATCAGAAGTTGCCTCTTGAATAGAATAGAATAGAATATAGAATAGAATAGAATAGAATAGAATAGAATAGAATATAGAATAGAATATGGAATAAAATATAGAATAGAATAGAATATAGAATAGAATATGCAATAAAATATATAATATAATAGAATATAGAATAGAATATAGAATAGAATACAATAGAATATAGAATAGAATAGAATGTAGAATAGAATATGGAATAAAATATAGAATAGAATAGAATAGAATAGAATAGAATGTAGAATAGAATATGGAATAAAATATAGAATAGAATAGAATATAGAATAGAATATGCAATAAAATATATAATAGAATAGAATATATAATAGAATAGAATATAGAATAGAATAGAATATAGAATAGAATATGGAATAAAATATAGAATAGAGTAGAATAGAATGTAGAATAGAATATGCAATAAAATATAGAATAGAATATAGAATAGAATATAGAATATGCAATAAAATATATAATAGAATAGAATATAGAATAGAATATAGAATAGAATATGGAATAAAATATAGAATAGAATCTTGGAGGAGAAGCAAAACATCTTCAAAGAAAAACAAGAAAGTCCAGTTGCCTCCTGAAAAAGCATCTTTCAGACAACCAGGACCTGGAGGACGGAGATGCTCCATAAACATTGTACTGCAATGTTTCTCCACCTTGGCAGCTTGGAGACCTGTGGAGTTCAAGGCCCAGAATTCCCCAACTAACCTTGCTTGCTGGCTGGGGAATTCTGGGAGTTGAAGTCCACCCATCTTTAAGCTGTCAAGGTTGAGGAACGCTGTGCTAGAGCATCCTCCCTTTTCTGTTTCAACTTAGTGTTTTGTTTTGTGCTTGTTGTTTTTAAGTTGTTACAGTTTTATAGTGATGTTGTTTGTTCTGTTACAATAGTTGTATGCCATTGATCCAGGAGGCTCACCGCTTAGAACAGGAGGACTTAGACCAGGGGTGGGGAACCTTGGCTCTTTTATGACTGGTGGACTTCAACTCCCAGAATTCCTGAGCCAGCCACGCTGAGGGGAAAGGGAGAGGTTTCCAAGCTGAGCCAGGCTGGCTCAGGAATTCTGGGAGTTGAAGTCCACGAGTCAGAAAGTGGCCTAGGACTAGGCTGGAGGTAGGCAACCTTGGCTCTTTTATGACTCGTGGACTTCAACTCCCAGAATTCCTGAGCCAGCATGGCTCAGCTTGGAAACCTCTCCCTTTCCCCTCAGTGTGGCTGGCTCGGGAATTCTGGGAGTTGAAGTCCACGAGTCATAAAAGAGCCGAGGTTGCCTACCCCTGGTAGTGGGTACCACGTTAATATATATTGCTAATCCATGTACGGTATGCCACACAATAAATAAGTGGTATCATGCAGTATACAAACACACAGAATAAGCGATGATTTGTTAAGTGCAGAAAACATAGGACGTTGTGGGTGGGAAAAAATAACGGCAGAGAAGAAGAGAAAATGAACATGAATTATCTAATTTCCCTCAACACTCTTCCGTCTTTCCACCTAATTGAGCCTCTAGTTCAGGAACTTAATTATTGCTGTGTTCTCAAGGAGTCCCCAAACAACTGAAAACCAGTGATTGACAGTGAAGAACCATCAATCACAGGTGTCCTGGGGCGAGTGGGAGAGAGATGGTGATGGGTAGTAAACTGTGTAGGGCAGTGCAAACTCTTCCCCTTACGTTATATCGTTTTGGCATCATCACACTTATAGACAGATGTCTCTTTTCTAAGATTTCAACCATTCTACCCATTTCTGGAGTTTTCCTCCAGCTCCTCTTAAAAATAGTTTGTTGTCAAAACTTCGTGTGCTGCTCTAAAATGCCTCTCCATCCAATCTTATAATTTGTTCCCATAGGAGTTGGCAAAGCATTGTTTTTTCCTGACCACCGAGGTTGTGCTCCTGTTCCGTGTTGTGTGTGGGGCCTTATTGTTTAAGCTCCATGCTGTTCTTTCTGTTTTGTTAGAGTCTTTTAAACATTTTTTTTCACTCCCTCTCTCTCTCTTTCCCAATCTCTCTCTCTCTCTCTCTCTCTCTCTCTCTCTCTCTCTCTGTGTGTGTGTGTGTGTGTGTGTGTGTGTTACATAGAACTTTCATTTTTATTTCCTGTTATACTTCTTTAGTTCCTGGTACCGCCGGTAGTTTGTCCTTTGTTTAAGCTTCAGTGACATAGTACAGTACATTTTTGATCTGGCTCCATAGGTTTCATAGTGCTTAGACTGAACCAGTGTATTCCAGTCTGTATTTACACTTAGTTTTCCAACAGGGTCACCTTTTCAATCCTTAACTAACTCCTTTGTGCTTTTTCTTTATTAAGTTCTGGATTCATTTTTTTGAACTAGTTTTTATTTTTGTGGTGAGGTCCACCTACTGAAACATAATAAAAAGGTAGAAGAATCAGGTGCTACTAAAATCAAACAAGGAATTCATAGGTCATGGTGATTAAGATGTACTAAATGTAAACCAAAGAGAGACCTATATACTATTGCAGTAAATATCATTTTGCCAATCCTTTAAGTATTATTAAATCTGGAGCACGCAGAAATTTACTACTCTTGTCTTCTTCTTTTTATAATAAAAGGGTTTTTCAAAATGGCCAACTGCTGCTCTGCAACATTAATACCGGAGTGGATATAGATTCTCCTGCTTAACTAGAAGACCTTTAAGGTCCCTTTTAATAATAGTTTAGAGTTGTTAAGTTTTACGTGAATTCTTATGCTGGTCAAAGACCGAAATAAAAATTCATTGAAAAAACAGTTGTGCATCTTTTTGAACAGCGGGCTCACACATCATGTGTGGTTGGTTTTTGCTTAGTGTGATATGCAAATGTGGTCTTTGTGGTTTACAAACCATGATTAACAAGTCTGAAAAAACTGCCAAGCAACAGTCACTTGAAGTTATGCAAACTTTCCCTTAGCAAAACTTGTTTTTCTGTATGCTTGGGTCTGGTGTTTTTTTTTTTTTTTAATTAATTTATTTATTTTCCCTTTAATACTTGGTGTTTTTATTTTTGCATTATGTAAACTGCTGAGAGCCTTTTTTTTTGGAATTGAAAGGCATGTACATCACAGAAGTAAATAACATGGGGTTTTAATGCATTCATCATTTTTTAAGTCAAATTTATATGGCTGCCCACTGCATGGAAAGTTACTCTGTGCTTTTTTTTTTTTTACAATTCTATTTATTGCATTACGGTCATTTTTTTCCAAAATAGCCACTGCGGGTAACAGAGAAATTTTGAGGGTCTCTTTTTATGTTAGGGCAAGTTACATATTTTATATATTTATTTGTATCTCACCTTTATTATTTTTTACAAATAACTCAAAGCGGTGAACGTATCCAACACACTTTCCTTCTCCTACTTTCCCTACAACAGCAACCTTGTGAGATTGTCAGGCTGAGAGAAATCCCAAGGTCATCCAGCTGGTTTTCATGGCTAAGACAGGATTTGAACTCATGGATTCCTACTTTCTAGCTTTGTGCCTCAACCACCCGCTCTCTTATCATATTAGGGGATACCTGTGCTAACAGATGCAGCTGAGTTTTTTTAAACAAATACTATCTGGATTAATATGCATTTTAAGCTGTAAGGTACAGCCCATTTTCTAATGAGGTGACAAATAAGATTTTATTTTGAGAAGGGTTTTTAATCAGGTGCTTACACTGCGTATATTATCTTAGGCTTGGCCACTTTTATTTTGCCTCCCAACCAAATCCTTGTTTAATTGGATGCTTCCATTATGATGCTAGCAGCATTATTTTGAGATGCAGATTTGAGTCACAGCAAACCACCTTCCTACATCCAGATTTCCCCTAAAAAAATATCAAGGCATTTGGGCTGCTATTCTTGATTTGCTTTCTTTAAAGGTCATCAGGGTTTTTTCTGGAATCAAAGAGAATAGAATAGAATAGAATAGAATAGAATAGAATAGAATAGAATTGATTGTAGAATAGAATAGATAGATTGTAGAATAGAATAGAATAGAATAGAAAATAGAATAGAATATAGAATAAAATAGAATAGATTGTAGAATAGAATAGACAGATTGTAGAATAGAATAGAATAGAAAATAGAATAGAATAGAATATAGAATAAAATAGAATAGATTGTAGAATAGAATAGAATAGAATAGATTGTAGAATAGAATAGACAGATTGTAGAATAGAATAGAATAGAATGGAATGGAATGGAATAGAATAGAATAGAATAGAATAGAATAGAATAGAATAGAATAGAATAGAATAGAATAGAATTGGAAAGGACCTTGGAGGTCTTCTAGTCCAGCCCCCTGCTCAAGCAGGAGAACCTATACCATCTCAGACAAGTGACTGTCCAGTCTCTTCTTAAAAACCTCCAGTGAAGGAGCATCCACGATTTCTGAAGGCAACTTCTGTTCCACTGATTGATTGTCCTCATTGTCAGGATGTTTCTCCTTATTTCCAGGTTGCTTCTCTCTTTGATCAGTTTCCAACCATTGTTTCTCCTCCTTCCCTCTGGTGTTTTGGAGAATAACGTGACCCCCTCTGCCTTGTGGCAACCCCTCAGATACTGGATCACTGCTGTCATGTCTCCCCTATTTCTTCTTTTCTTTAGACTAGCCAAACCCAAGTCCTGCAGCCGTTCTCTATGCATTTCATTTAACCAATAAGATCAAGCAATGGAAAAGATGTGTTAAGTCTCTCCTACCCTTGAGAATTTATTAGACTTACAGACTTCTCTTCCTACTCTTAATTGTACACAAATTTCCTGACTCAGTATCCATCTGCAGCTGACTTTTCTGAAAATGCCATCTTCTTCCCCAGCACTTTCGTAATCATGGCATGCAAATCGCTTTCTTATTTCGGGAAGCACGTAAGCCCTCCTCCTACTTAGATTACCTCTTAATTAAACTGTCAGTTTTGTTCAAGGGTTGTAAGACCAGCTTCTCTTCCTTCGTTAGAACATCTCAGATAATTAGTCCGTTGCAAGAAGATCAGTTCATCCTGTTCCTGATCAAAGCATCCGAAGGCTTTCTTAGTAAGGATGATGATGTGGAACTGGAAATTCTTCTTACATCAGCAGACAAGATTGTGTGTTGGAAACTCATCCGGCAGACAGCAAATTATAACAGAGGCTCATCTACTTCACAGTTTTGTGGAGCGAGTGTTTTTTTCATGTGTAGTGTCCATGACTTGACAAGATTAAATTTCTATGCTGGCAGGCCCTGGCTCATGAACAGCAACTTTATAGATAAAAGTTGCATGTCATTCCTCTTAAGAAATAATAATAATACCCCCAGGGGTATCACTACCATATGTTTTGTTTTTTGTTTTTCCTTAAAGATGTTTCGCTTCTCAGCCAAGAAGCTTCTTCAGATAGAATGGAATGGAACAGTAAATAGAATAAAAAATAGAATAAAATAGAATAGAATAGGAAATAGGATAGAGTAGAAAATAGAATAGAATAGAAAATAGGATACAATAGAAAATAGAATAGAATAGAATAGAATAGAACAGAAAATAGAATAGAATTAGAATAGAATACATAATAGAATAGAAAATAGAATAGAACAGAAAATAGAATAGAATAGAATTAGAATAGAATACATAATAGAATAGAAAATAGAATAGAATAGAAAATAGAATAGAATAGAAAATAGAATAGAATAGAAAACAGAACAGAATAGAATTAGAATAGAATACATAATAGAATAGAAAATAGAATAGAATAGAAAATAGGATAGAATAGAAAATAGAATAAAAAATAGAATAGAATAGAATAGAAAATAGAATAGAATAGAATTAGAATAGAATACATAATAGAATAGAAAATAGAATAGAATAGAAAATAGAATAGAAAATAGAACAGAAAACAGAACAGAAAAGAATAGAATAAATAAAATAGAGCTGGAAGGGACCTTGGAGGTCTTCTAGTCCAGCCCCCTGCTGAAGAACTGAAGAAGCTTCAGTGTGTATACATATATACATGCTCTGATTGAGCGACGATTGGTTTTAAAAAGTTCTTGTTGTTGATCTCTTGTGGTTCTCCCGCCTAAAATATTTCAGAAATGGGGGAAAAATGTCTCAAAAGCATCGACTGGTAACGAGAACTTGCTTTTGTTGCCGTGCTGCAATAATTCTTTATTAAGGCCCTTTATAATAAGCAAATGTTTGCTGTCACTGAGAGCTATTTCACTTGTAGTTTATATCCCTCAGAATTAATTGTAGCATGTAAAAGTCTTGGGGGGGATTATTTTTTTTTTAGGCATGTCAAATCGCACAAAATAACATTTAGATCTATATTTAGCCAGCCTACGCTGTAAATAATTACGGAACATCTGGAATTGGTAAAGGGATGAAGGATAGCTTGCTAGGAGTAACTTTCCTCTATGCTAGGCAGTTCTGATTTGTCCCATGTTCGTCTCTCGTTTGGCGTTGCTGAAAATAAAAAAATAATGCGCTCATTATGCTCTCGTGCCGTTTGGAGACACGGGGACGGTGAGCCACATTACAGATTAGCCTGCTTTGAAAAAAAAAAGGCAGCTGTGCATTTCCATCTCTCTCTGCAAACTTCTTGTTTAAAGCCAGCAACATCTTAAGAGTGAAATCCATCAACTCGGGGACGAGAACAAGAAAACGGTATTTTTCAAATACAGAAACAGTATTTGTCGGTGTATTTACTACTGTCAGTGTGGCTGTCCTAAAAATATTTGGAGATATTTGGTCTCATAGAATCATAGGCCTGGAAGGGTCTTCTATCCCAACCTATTACTCAAGACAGGAGACTATCCCAGTCAAATGATTGTCCAGTCTATTTTTAAAAACCCTCCAGTGATGGAGCTGTCCCCAACTCCGGGGCAAGCTATTCCATTCCTTAATTGCACTGATTTTCTCCTTACTTAATTGTTGTATCTCAGCTTCCACCTATTACATCTTCTCTTGCCATCTGGCTCAGGAATTCTGGGAGTTGAAGTCCACAAGTCATAAAAGAGCCAAGGTGGTGGGGAATTCCTGGACACGCTATAGAAGGGATAAGGAAAGGCGTGAAAATGGATAGGATTTCTTATAAGCAATTGATTAAGTGGGAAGGGAATAAGTGGCAATTAAAATCGATGGAGGATTTATTGCCAGAAAACATTATTTATTCTTGGTTTCGGTATAGGCAGTTATTAGAAAGATGGAGTATAGATCAAAAGAGCCAAGGTTGCCTATCCCTGCCCTAGAGAATAAGTCAATCCCTTCTTCTCTGTGACAGCTGCTTAAGTACTGGAAGACGACATATCTAGGTCCCTCAACTATTTGTCATACAGTTTAGCCTCCAGCCACTGACATCTTTGTTCTTCTCTGCACCCTTTCCAGAGTCTCAACATCTTTTTTGTATTATAGTGACCAGAACTGGACACAGTATTCCCAGCATGGTCTCACCAGCATGGTGTAAAGTGGTACTATTACTTGTCGTTGTGTGGACGCAATCCTTCGGTTGATGCAGCTTAAGATGTTGATGCATTGGCTTTTTTTGGCAGCTGCAGCACGCTGCTGAGATGCTGCTGTACAGCTGTATTGCCTTTTAATTACCTGTTTATGCCTCTTTTTCTGAACGGTCTGGCGAAATAACCTGTTCAGGGCTGTGAAACACTAAGAGGCACGGATAGAGGAGAATATTTGTTGTTCAGGGCTGACATGAGGGGTCCTTGGTGCTTTCTGAGCTTAGTGGTTTTCTTGCAGACGTTTCATTACCCAACTAGGGAACATTATCAGTGCTAGAAGAGAGTGGGGTTTGTGGAGAGGAGGAGGAGGAGGAGGAGGAGGAGGAGGAGGAGGAGGAGGAGGAGGAGGAGGAAGACAACGACGACTGTGGGGTCCTTGATGCTCTCTGAGCTTGGTGGTTTTCTTGCAGACGTTTCATTACCAAACTAGGTAACATCATCAGGGCACAGTAAGAGGCATTGAAAAACCCCTCTGGAGGTTCCATTGCTTGTTAATTTGGGCGGGGGCTGAGACATGAGGTCCCCCCCTGAACTCACCAACCTTCAGTGAGTCAACAATTAACTTTTTGAAATTACTGATAGTTTGAAATCTATGTTAGTAACCTATATGTTTGTCTGAGCTAACTTTATCTTCCTAAAGCTCATCCCCACGATTGACTTCTTTGTAAAGGTCCATAGCAGTGGGTCACCTGTCACTGAAGCCCCTTGGCGTTTGCGCGTGAAAAATATGTTTCCCGGGAACTAACAAATCAAGTTTAAGTTTCTGAAGAAAGGAATAAGCTCTATCTCTGTTTGCTAAATAAGGGCTGGGCGTTCTTTTGAGAACAGTGTGCACATCTGGAATTTTGAAGGAACACTTCTGGGTTTGCATAAACTGGCAGCTGGCAGGAAATTGCTTCTTTAAATATATCTTCCATAGAAGCCATGAATAAACACAAGCTAACTGTGATAGGAAAGCAAAGTAACAGAATGTGTTCTTTTCACCCTATTAATCTACCCAACATGTTGCATACCGTTATCTGTTTTCCTTAACTGGTGGATATGCTTCCAAATTAGGTAGTTTTAATTGTATTTCTTCACTAGGTTTGCATCCTGCCATTCCTCCAGGTGTAGGAGGCACTGTATGTATTTTTTTCACAGCAATAACCAGTAGTGTAGGTTGATCCAATAGGTAGTAGTTATCCAGTCAGTTTTTATAAACTATGGAGCATAGATGCAGTCACCAGGAGCCAAGCTGAATTCAAGAGGTATTTACATTTTGGTTGCAACCAAAGAAACAGATAATCCTTGACTTGCAAACTTTCATTTAGTGTCCATGTACAGGGTGTCCCTCCTGTATTTTTCGTTCAACATACCGAACCCATCCTAGGGCCCTGATTATTCTTTAACAAAAAAAGCAATATATTTTTATTGAGGGTTTGCTTTAAAAAAATAGTGAGAAGGCAATGTTCATAGGATGCAACCGGTCCCTCTATTTACCCCAGTTCTGTGCTTCATTAGTAATTATGAATTACTAACCACTAAATCTAGATTTTCAAGGCAGCTATAATAGACCAGTCAAAATAGTTCTGTTGTAAATTTATCATGTATAAAAGAAAACAAATTACGAGCAGAGAGGAGACATTAATTTTTACTGTGTGTTGTTCTCTAGGTCTTCCAGAAAAATGGATGATGACTACTTTGGAGGATTTGAGGTATGGAAGTAAGGATATTTAAAATGTTTGCCAAGGATATTTTCAATAATGAAAGCTATGTAGCACTCCGAATTTGGAAGCAGAGCGATCAATCTCTCTGTGTAAATTATTTGTGTAAATTATTCTGTCACCTGCAATGTGACCGATTCTAATTTGTGTAACTTGTTATGGATTTACTAATTGCTAAGAAGGTCAAGAAAACACAATTTACGCATGAATTGCCCTGGGATATTCTATTACTTCTTTGAATATCAAGAGGTAAAATTTCTCCAAATGTTCAGAACTGGAGTATAAATGTTGATCCCGTCTCGGGAATCTTTAGCAAGTGATTGCTTTCGCAGAGTTGGAAACCAGCTTATATTTATTTCCCCTCTTTACCAAATTCTTGTGTTTTAAAAGTGTCAGAATTCCTGGATTTCTGCATCCTGATGTGGTAGTTATTCTCTTGAAGCGTTCTCCCTAAAACCTGGCTGCAGAGGGTAGTTGAAATCCTGTTTGACTAAACCCAGGATTGCATGCTATAAAGTCGCCAGTGCTAATTTTTTTTTTGTGGGGGTGGCTTTTCATCTCCCCCCCCCTCTTTTTCCTAACAGAGTGCCAAAAGTTAGGAATACAGGAAGCTGGTTTATACTGGTTGGGAAAGCCATGCCAGGGGAGTGAATTTCCTGACCGTTGGGCCAATGTTTAATATAAAGTTATGCCAAACTTCACATTTTTATATGATATGGAAAGAAAATATTTTTGGCATAAATAAACAGCCAATCAGGGTAAAGTAACAGGGCGCTTTCAAATGCTCACACGCTAGTAATCGAGGAGAGATGCAGCCTAGAATGAAGGAGAAACTTCCTGACAGTGAGGACAATTAACCAGTGGAACAGCCTGCCTCCAGAAGTTGTAGGTGCTCCAACAATGGAGTTGCCTTTTCAAAAAGGCAACTGGACTTTCTTGGTTTTTTTTGCAAGTTTAATGAAGAGAAGGACGAGGGGGGACATGATAGCAGCCTTCCAGTACCTCAGGGGCTGCCCCAAAGAAGAGGGAGTCAAGCTATTCTCCAAAGCACCCAAAGGCAGGACAAAAAACAATGGATGGAAACTAATCAAGGAGAGAAGCAACCTGGAACTAAGAAGAAACTTCCTGACAGTGGGAACAATTAACCAGTGGAACAACCTGCCTCCAAAAGCGGTGAATGCTCCAACACTGGAAGTTTTTAAGAAGAGACTGGACAGCCATTTGTCTGAAACGGTATAGGGTCTTCTGCCTGAGCAGGGGGTTGGACTAGATGACCTCCAAGGTTCCTTCCAACTCTGTTATTCTATTAATTAACCAGTGGAACAACCTGCCTCCAGAAGTTGTGAATCCTCCAACACTGGAGGTTTTTAAAGAAGAGATCGGGCAACTATTTGTCTGAAATGGTATACATCTTCCTGCTTGAGCATAGGGGTTGGACTAGAAGACCTCCAAGGTTCCTTTCGACTCTATTCTGTAACTAAGTAGTAAAACAGAGGTGGGAAGTGTCACAGTATTTGTTTATGTACCATACTGTACTATATAATTCATTTGTTGAAAGTGCCAGACAGATTTTGATGTGATTGCTTTTCTCTAGCGTCACCTTATTGATGAACAAGCTCCTTAAAAAAAAAAAAAAAATACAGGGAGCACAAGACCAGCCAAACTGCAATCTTAGTGAAAGTTGAAATAGCATGAGAATGCCTTTCTACCAAAATCATATAAAAATGGTGCCATGAGTAGCATCTGGACAGCCAAAGGCCACATGTATGGCTACATTGCAAAAATCTGCCAGGGAAAAAACAACGACAACTAGATTTGATTTAGCTCAATCCAAGTAGAATTAAATAAATTGTCATGGCAATAATAATAATAATAATAATAATAATAATAATAATAATAATAGTAATAAAGTTGGAAGGAACCTTGGAGGTCATCTATCCAACCCCCTGCTCAGGCAGGAAACCCTACACCATTTCAGACAAATGGCTGTCCAGTCTCTTCTTAAAAGCCTCCAGTGTTGGAGCATTCACCGCTTCTGGAGGCAGGTTGTTCCACTGGTTAATTGTTCTCACTGTCAGGAAGTTTCTCCTTAGTTCTAGGTTGCTTCTCTCTTTAGTTAGTTTCCATCCGTTGCTTCTTGTCCTGCCTTCAGTGTGTGCATTGGAGTGTGTGCATTGGAGCCATGGACACCAAACGGGGCTTCAGAACTGCTTGGAAATTCTTCAGATTAATAATGAACATTGAAAGAAAATCTTGTGCCTAGTTGAACAATAATGTGCCTTGCACTTTCAGGCTGCAGAAATTTTTTTTAAAGATGGAAACAGTGAACCCCAGACAACGTCTCCTGCTATTCCTTGGGCGGTCTTTTCCACAGGTATAGAGAAATACTGGTAATTTATGTCTCTGTGTGTGGTTTTCTTACGAGTTTTTCTGACTACTGGGGGCGGTGTCAAGAGAGGAATCAGTCTGGAGTCATTACATTCCCACAAGCGAAATCCAGCCTCTTTTGAAATCCGTTAACTCTTATCTAGCTCTAATTTAGTGCTGACCCTTAACTGACCAGATTCTTGTGTATAGGCTTGAGCAAAAAATCTTAATGTGTAGTCATGATACTTTGCACCTGACATTAAGATATGTTAGTCCTTCCTTTTATTTTATACTTATACACACAGACATATACACTACGATGGAGATAGATTAGTTTACTTAGTGTAGTAGAAACACCTTAGACCGGTGTTTTTCCAGCTTGGCAACTTTAAGGCGAGTGGACTTCAACTTCCAGAATTTCCCAGCTTGAAAAAGATGTTTTGATTTTTCTTCCATTTCTACAAGACTCCACACGCTTTGAGGGTCTTTACTGATTGGAATAATAATCCCATAGCCAAAGAAGTGAGTTCAATTATCTCGTATATTTCAGAAGTGAAATTCTCAAGCTTACAAATGCTTTAATGTTTCCAATCCCTACTGGCTTATAATAAGGGTTATTACAGTATATTTCCCCCACCCCCAATACTATAACATTACATAGTATTTGTCTTGGGTTCTCAAGATGCCTTCCCGCATAATCCTTAGAACAGTTTTGTGAGATGTTGTGAACAACTTAGTGAGATGTTGTGTAGTGGAGAAACAGTCAAAAGAATTAGATGTTTGATTTTCGAGAAAGAGTGGAGATTTGATCTATGGATTTGCCATCCGCAATTTTATCCTGCTTGCCTATATAGAATGTGCAGAAAACTAGACAGTGTGTAAATTCACTCCAGTTTGTGCAGAGTAGACAGACGCCAATTAAGCAATATCTGTTTGGCATACATACTGCCTAAGCCATTTTCCAAATCAGCATAACTGCAGAAATGTATAGAATTCTTACTGTACATTTATTTTGCTTCCATAACCTTTCTGGCTATGTTTTTTTTAAAAGCAGACTATTTATTTATTTATTTATTTATTTATTTATTATTTAAATGCATCAATTAGGATCATTCACCCTTAAAAATCAGACAATTATTTTTACAAAGCAATTTCTATTCCTTTTATGTTCTTGCCAAAATATAGGCATAAAATACGCATTGTGTTTTGGGGATATTTGTGGCAAACTCTCTTGCAAAATTAAAACAATTTGAAACTTTCACTCACTGCGTTTGTTTGCTCTTATGCTCTTACATTATGAGAATTGATACTATTTTATTAAAAAAAGAATATATGTGTGTGTGTATGTGTATGCATGTATGTGTGTAAGTGTGTGCAAATTAAAACTTCTTTTGATAAGTAAAGAACTTATTTTAATCCTAAATTTACTCGCAGCAGTTTTAGTAAGCAAATTTGTGTTTTGTTTATATGGTAATTTGTCGAATTTTTTTGGCTAGCACACTGTTATTTTTAGCTTCGCAGAACGATACAAACTTTTAAAAACAGATGTCTTTTGAAATTTCTTTTCCTTTCACTTGCATTCCTTTCTCTTCCTTGTTTTCCACCAACAGTGCCTGAAATTCTTGCACCACCGACAGTTTCAGCCGAGCTGCTTTCGAAACAGGCTCCCGATGATGTACCAGCAGACACTCAACTGCCACCCAATACTTTAAGTGCAGCTGATCTTAAAGAGAAGGTAAAAAAATGATTTTATGATTACTTTTAATGCACGCAACAATACTTTTTAATCCACGGATTGCAAATAAACTGTAAGTAGAGAAGGACTAGGGGTGACATGATAGCTGTCTTCTAGTACTTGAGGGACTGTCCCAGAGAGGAAGGGGTCAACTTATTCTCCAAAGCAGCTGAAGGCAGGACAAAAAGCAATGGATGGAAGCTCATCCGAGGAAGATCCAATCTGGAACTCCGGAGAAATTTCCTGAGAGAAGTTATGAGAATTAATTAATCAGTGGAAGAGCTTGCCTCTGGAAGTTGTGGGTGCTTCATCACTGGAGGTTCTCAAGGAGATACCGGATAGCCATTTGTCTGGAATGGTATGGACCAGGCGTGGGCAACCTTGGCTCTTTTATGACTGGTGGACTTCAACTCCCAGAATTCCTGAGCCAGCCATGCTGAGGGGAAAGGGTGAGGTTTCCAAGCTGAGCCAGGCTGGCTCAGGAATTCTGGGAGTTGAAGTCCACGAGTCCTAAAAGAGCCAAGGTTGCCTACCATTGGTCTAGGGCAGTGTTTCTCAACCTTGACAATTTTAAGGCACGTGGACTTCAACTCCCAGAATTCCACAGCCAGCAATGCTGGTTGTGGAATTCTGGGAGTTGAAGTCCACGTGCCTTAAAATTGTCAAGGTTGAGAAACACTGGTCTAGGGCTACCTCTATGTTTCATCACATGATTAAATCTGACATCTGTACATCTCCCTGTTTTGTGTCTTCCATAAAGCAGCCAGTTGATCCACCGTTGACTGAAAATCCAGAAAGAGCATCTTCCAGTTATGACGAAGCTGATACAAAACCAAGGCGAAATGATTCTGAAAAGCATTTTCAACAAACCCTTTCAGCTCTGGAGAGTAAACTTCAAATGGCAGATGAGGAAAAAGCTAGAATAAAAAAGGTATAGCTACAAGTCTAAGAAACTCCCCTTCTGGACTGTGTGGTTGTTGATCAGGGGTGGGGAACGATGGCTCCTTTACGACCTGTGGACTTCGACTCCCAGAATTCCTGAGCCAGCCATGCTGGCTGGCTCAGGAATTCTGGGAGTCGAAGTCCACAGGTCGTAAAGGAGCCATCGTTCCCACCTCTGGTTTCTAGATGATAAGAGCATCAATCCATTATCTCCTTCTGTTCCTCTGGGTCATGCTTACCTTTTTTTGTGGCGTCTTGACCAGGAGTGTTTTGTGGAACATGGTGTGGGGGAGAAAAAGATGTTTTTGATGACTCCTTATAGGTTTACTCGAAGGATCTTGACAGATTTGAACCCCAGGCCACGTCCAACAAAACGCAGTTCATTGTTGAGAAATTAAGGCCCAAGCCTTAGGGAAGAAAAATCAAATATACAGATATAGAAGAGAGGGTGCCAAGAGCAGCAACAGTGAATGGTATCTAGATGTCCTAGAGCAGAGGTCTTCAAACTTGGCCCTTTGATGACTTGTGGACTTCAACTCCTAGAATTCCTCAGTTAGGCATGCAATAACAAGGACCAAGTTTGAAGATCCCTGTGCTAGAGAATAACTATTTAAGTATGAGCCAGCTGTGTGGTGCAGCTGCCCCCAAAGCCAATGAAGTTCTAGGCTGCATCAACAGAAGGATAGTATTAAGTATTAAGATCATGTGAAGTGTTAGTACTGCTTTATGTTGCACTGGAAGAACCATATTTGAAATATTGCACCGAGTTTTGGTCACCACAGATGTTGAGACTCTAGAAAGAGTGCAGAGAAGAGCAACAAGGATGACTAGGGGACTGGAGGCTAAAACATACAATGAATGATTGTGGGAATATTTCTAGTCTAACAAAGAGAGGGACAAGGAGTGACATGATAGCGGTCTTCTAATATTTGAAGGGTGGTCACAGACAAGAGGACATTAATCTATTCTCCAAAGCACCAGAAGGTAGGACGAGAAGCAACAGATGGAAACTAACCAAGGAGAGAAGCAACCTGGAACTAAGGAGGAATTTCCTGACAGTTAGAACAATTAACCAGTGGAACAACCTGCCTCCAGAAGTTGTGGGTGCTCCATCACTGGACGCTTTTAAGATGAGACTGGACAATACCTTGACTGAGATGGTATAGGATCTAGGCGACTGGAAGTTCCTTTCCAATTGTATTATTTTATATTCTGTTCTGTAAGTTGGACCCTGAGTGGCAGGTGTAGCTGACAATTATAAAAGAGAGATGTTTTAATACAAGCTATTTTTTTTTTTAGGAGTTAGAAGATCTTTTGGAAAAACACAGGACTTTGGAAACCGATTGCATGAAAGAAAAAGATGATAAATTAATTTCACATAAAGATATATACAACAAGCTCCAGGTAATGTTTTAAGATTTGTATCCCCTGAGGTCCTTCTTGATTGCTCTGTTAATTTATCGGCCCAACCCTAAAGAACGATACAAATAGAAAATAAAATGCATCTGTTTAAAAAAAGAATTGAGGGGTAGAGATATTTTGAATAGGGCCTGTTGTTCAGTTTATCTAGCCATTTGTGCTGGTTGTAACCCTTCTCTGCGTTTATTGTGTTTATACATCCATTTTTAAAATCTCACTCAATTGAGCACTGAAAAAATGTGTATTGGGACAAACATCTTGATACAAAAAACAAAAGAAAGCCTAAAAATGAGAAATATGAAGATGGATCCATATCAATAAAGGAGAGTATTTGTAGCTCAGCATTGAAATGAGGGATCTCTGAGCTTGCTTGTTTTCTTGCAGACATTTCAGTGCACTGATGATGTTACCTAGTTTGATAATGAAATGTCTGCAAGAAAACAAGCAAGCTCAGAGAGCACCAAGGACCCCACAGTTGTCCTCCTCCTCCTCCTCCTCCTCCTCCTCCTCCTCCTCCTCCTCCTCCTCCTCCTCCTCCTCCTCCTCCTCCTCCTCCTCCTCCTCCTCCATCATTCCACAAACCTTGTTTGGGTAATGAAACATCTACAAGAAAACAAGCTAGCTCAAAGAGCACCAAGGATCCATATCAGAAAGTTGTCAAAGTAGACCCAGACAGATAGATTGCTTTTAATTGAAAGACTTATTCAAACCCCCAGCTTAACCTAGTTTAAACTCCAAGGAACCTTCATTGCTAAGGATCCTATCCTGTTCTTGTGTTCAGAATGAAGCTTGAGTCCAGGGGAATAAGTGAATCAAACTTTTAGGACTTCCGTCGCTTGCTTTCTTCATGGAAATAGAATGTAGGCCACCTTCACTTCATCCCTTTCTAGATACCATGTTGGTTTTGCCTTCTCTGGCGTTAGGACCCGCACCTGTGACCACACAGCAAGTAAGCTGAAAAGTACAGCTGTACAGCTTGTCAGCAACTTCCTTCAGCGAAAACAGCTGGCTCTGGTACTGCATAAGTAAGAGAAAAACCAACATGAATCACGGACTTGGTATTTTTCCAGATGAATCTGTAGGTACTCCGAGTCTTTGGGATCTCACAATTAGTATAAAGGGCAAAAGCTCTCGGGATTTTGTACAAGCTTAGCCAATGTATTGTGGTGGAACCAGTTCTTATGGGCCAAAAAGTTGCTTTAACTAGTTTTTAACCAAGATCAGCAAATGTTTCATGCAGCACCCCCAAACCGTGAAGGATGAAAGTCAGAGTGGGAAGTTACTACTGAATTCTTTTCGGGTGTAAGTTGCACAGATGAGGCTCCTTCCGACGGGCGCTAGTCACGCATGCTTCCTCCAGCTTTTAGGTCTCCCGATACTTACTATATGCTTGCCTAGTCCGCTTGCATCTCCCAGAACAAGCATTGGAAAATTTTAATCACAATTTTTCAATTGTCAAATCCGCTCCCAAACCGATATGTGTGTGTATATTTAGATTCTCAGCAAGATCGCGTTCTTGAAAAACAATGCAACTTCATGTGGTTTGGTCTCTTTCAAACATATTTACACTATTTTCTTTTAGAGTTGGCAACCGTTGCCTCTGTTTGGGAATTAAACTCAAATCCTGGATTTGATTTTGAAGCCTGAAATGTGTCTTTATACTCCTGCCACCCCTCCTATTTATTTCATATCTTAAAGTTGGAAGAATTCTGGCTACAATTCACTCTGTCCCAGTGGTAATTAGGAAACAAAGGCAAGAAGTGATTCAGAAGAGCATCATCGCTGCTGACATTTAGGATAAAAATAGCCTTGGATTTCATTATTCTGAACAATCTCAAACTCAGGGATTGAGTTACGAACTGATCCTTTGGGGAGCCAAAGGTTTAACGTACGTTTTTGTGGGAGAGGTTAAGGTATTCAAGGAATTAAAGAGCAGCAAAATTTCGAAGCTTCCAGTCCCTCTGTAGTAAATACAAAATAGGGATTGGATCAGGAGAGAGAAAGAACTACTGCAGGAAGAGAATTTTATATATTAAAAATATATATTCTGTCCAGATACTAATTGGAGTGCCAGCTGAAGAGTCACCAGTTAAATAAATATTATGGCTTATCATTTTAAATTTATGTAATTGATCACATATAAATAATTATTAAAGTCACCTGTCTTGGAGGTCATTGCAAAAAAAAAGTATATCCTCTAATTAATTGGAACAACCACACATTTGTCAAAAGGAAAAATAATTAAAACCAATTTAACCTTTTTTAGATATGTGATAGTAATGTATCAGAAATAAAATAGTTTCAAATCAAGTGAAATAAATCAAATCGAATCAACTTGAAGTAAAGCTGAATAATAATAATAATAATAATAATTAATAATAATAGTAATAAAGTTGGAAGGGACCTTGGAGGTCATCTAGTTCAACCCCTTGCTCAGGCAGGAAATGCTATACCATTTCAGACAAATGGCTGTCCAGTCTCTTCTTAAAAATTTCCAGTGTTGGAGAATCCACAACTTCTGGTGGCAAGCTGTTCCACTGGTTAATTGTCCTCCCTGTTAGGAAGTTTCTCCTTAGTTCCAGGTTGCTTCTCTCTTTGATGAGTTTCCATCCGTTGCTTCTTGTCCTGCCTTCAGGCGCTTTGGAGAATAGCTTGACTCCCTCTTCTTTGGGGCAGCCCCTGAGATATTGGAAGACGGCTATCCTGTCCCCCCTCATCCTTCTCTTCATTAAACTAGACATACCCAATTCCAGCAATCGTTCTTTATATGTTTTAGCCTCCAGCCCCTTGAGCATCTTTGTTGCTCTTCTCTGCACTCTTTCTAGAGTCTCAACATCTTTTTTATATTGTGATGACCAAATCCCCTTTTCTCCAAACAAGTGTTCGTTCCTCTTTATTGAAGAGCATAATGGGAGAGTATAATGCAACTTTTAGTATGCTGCTAAATCTTCAGTCAGCAAAACACTGTTTAATGCTTAAGAACCAAAGAACCATTGTTCTTGAGAAGTCATTCCTCCTCAATAAGTACTAACTTGAGAAAATTTTGAGAGGTGAACTTGATGAAGCAGCTTCTCTGTTGAGTTCCAAACCTATCTTATTCCCAGTTATAGGAGTCTGAATTCTTGATTCCGAAGTGGCAATAAAGATGGAATGAAAAGTCTCTTTCTGAAGTAAAGGAGGAGAAGCTATGAATGATGAAGGATTGGCGGAGTGTTTTATTCAGGGTTATGAATATGATTCCAAAAGATGCATGTTTTTAAAAGCGAGTCTGCTGTCATCACACGTAGTCGCCATATTATAAAAAAGAGGTTGAGACTCTGGAAAGAGTGCCGTAAAGAGCAACAAAGATAATTTGAGGCTGGAGGCTAAAAAAAAATGAAGAACAAATTGGAGGAATTGGCTATGTCTAGTCTAGTGAAAAGAAGGACTAGGATTAACATGATAGTAGTCTTCCAATATCTGAGGGGCTGCCCCAAAGAAGAGGGGGTCCACTTATTCTCCAAAGTACCTGAAGGCAGGACAAGAAAGAATGGATGGAAACCAATCAAGGAGAGAAGCAATCTAGAACTAATTTCTAGGTTTCCTGACAGTAAGAACAATCAACCAGCCAAACGACTCGCCTTCAGAAGTTGTGGGTGCTCCATCACTGGAGTCTTTCAAGGAGAAATTGGACAGCCATTTGTCTGAGGTTGGACTAGACCAGTGTTTCTCAACCTTGACAATTTTAAGGCATGTGGACTTCAACTCCCAGAATTCCACAGCCAGCATTGCTGGCTGTGGAATTCTGGGAGTTGAAGTCCACATGCCTTAAAATTGTCAAGGTTGAGAAACACTGGACTAGACATTCTCCAAGCTCCCTTCCAACTCAAGTTATTCTGAGCCTGGAACATCTAGATTGTCCTTAATCATTGAAGTACGTAGGATAATCTTTGTAGGTTGGTAGATCTGACTACAATCGGCTTGGTTAGGTAGCTTGGGTGTGTATCTTGGAGGTAGGTGATTTCTGTGAGGAAAAACAGTAGAAAATGTATGTGGTTTTCTTTTTTAAAAGTAATACGACTTGCATCCTGTAAAATACCATCTTCTAACAAAATATTTAGGTTGGTTTTCGGCGCAGACATGGAGGAGACAGAACCTGAATAATGAAAAATAGTGTTCAAAATCTACTGTATCTGCCTGTGAATTGGTAGATGAGATTCCTGGAATACTGACAAATTAAGGAAGAGCTTGGAATTGTGCTGTGCCAGTGGGTGGAAATTTACTTTTTTAGTCACTAAAGTGGGTTTTGGCTGTTTATTTGGAGAAATTTTATGTTTAGGATAGTACCCTTTTGCCTACTTCCCTTCAGGTTTTTCTGCCAGGGCTCCGCTGTCAATTCTTCATTCTTCCCCCCCCCCCCCTTTTTTTTTTTACATTTTTTAACTCTACAACATTGTTCTTTGAACCACGCGGAACTGTGAAGTTGCTCAACCAGCGAGAGTGGAATTGAGTAAAACAGATCAGAATAACGTAAAGCGTCCCTACCAGTTGGCCTGTTCGACCTGAATTTGGTTCAGGAGTCTTCAAACTTGGCCCTTTTATGACTTGTGGAATTCAACTCCCAGAATTCGTGCCTGGCTGAGGAATTCTGCGAGTTGAAGTCCACAAGTCATCAAAGGACCAAGTTTGAAGACTCCTGGTTTAGTTCATTTTTATCAATGAATGTTCAGATAAAACTGACCCCATTCTTCGGTCATCTGGGCAGAAAAAGGTGGAGATGGTCAAAGAAGAGCTTGGAGGCTGGCCTGTCTGACCTTGGAAAGGAAGATCTATGATCCTTGAAGCAACCTTATAGGCCAGACAGCGTTGTAAGTCTTGAATCAGGAGTGCCTGGACCCAACTTTAGAGCAGGATCTCTCAACCCTGGCAACGTGAAAATGCCTGGACTTCAATTCCCAGAATTCTGCAGCCAGCTTAATGGCTGGGGGACCCTGGGAGTTGAGGTC